ACCAACACATAGTATACCAACTTTGGCTAAACTCGCTCATAATTTAATATAAAATTTACAGCGATGAACAACAGATAAAATTTATGCCATTTCAGGACGAAACGGGTTAATGGGATTAACGTTAAAAGACGCGACTCGGTCACTTCGACCGAAATATATTTTTACACATATAAGTATTACAATAAAGTAATAATTAATAAAAAAACAGTGCAGTTATTAAAAGAAACATAACAATTAAAGGAAATAATTTTATTATATAGCTATTTCTTTTTTCCCCTTTTTTTTTCTTTACCTCCTTTCTCTTTCTATCTAATATTTTTAGGAAACATATTAAATTTATTTATATCTAAAAATTACTATTAGTAAATAGTGAAAGATTAAGGTACAAATCATTTTACTAATAAAAAGATAAAGAAAATGAGCGCTAAGCGACTATCAATTATAGTCAACGCTAATACCGAAGAGATTAAATATTTATATTTATAAATTATTGTTAAATACTTACATTGTCGAATTCAGAGAATTATTCATCAAATTCTTCACACAATTCTATCTTTGTTGTTGAGTCTGGATATATATATAATATATATATATATATATATATATATATATATATATATATATATATCCTTAGAGTGGGCGCGCACCGCTCATTTCCCCGTACTTTTTTTTATTTTCTATTTATATCATCCAATCTATTGACATTATCGTATTTTCTCTTTTACATAAATATTCTTTGATGTTTTCTATAGTATAAAGAAGTAGACAGTGTAGACGCGCTTATTTCTATATGAAATTTGATATGTCTCTAACACTCGGTCTAAATGACCATAAAGCGCCTAATCGCGTTAGGTCGGATTTCACCAACGTCGATCAAACCTCAAACCGCGTTTAAACTATTTGAAACAAAGACTTAAACTCAGGTCAAAGCCCAATCGACGTTGGTGAAATCGGACTTTAGTCTTTTATTTCTACCGTCAGCACGACGTTCAGTTGAAAGTCTATTGTTTCTTCCGTTTCGTAGCTGGACGTTTCTCACATACCTACACAGCAATGTGTGTTCCGAATACATCACAAACATAGTATAAAGATATCTTAATATCTGTAGGTTATGATATATTCGGGACATTGCTGCTGTGTAGATAGTGTCTCTCGGATATTCCGAAAAATACAAAAACGAATAAGAAAATGAATAAGCAATCTGTAAATAATTATTTGGAAAGGCCTGAAATAGAAGAAATTATTAATGATTCGGAAGATTCGGAA